AAAACACCATTTCTGAACTCTTCCTTAGAAGAATAGCTGCCTCTATAAATATACCTCACTAATATGGTAGAGAACCAAAAATTTAACAGTAAAATTGATATATTCTTATGATGCAGAGTATATTTCCTAGAATTATAGCAGTTCCTTAGGATGCCCTTTTATTCTTAGAAATAGGTCTTTTTTCTCCCTGTGGAATGTTTGAGTTTACAATTTATTTGCCTACATTTATTATTCTAATTCTTTGGCTCTAATTTATTTTAGGTTATTTTGCAATCTGCAGATTGATAACATAATTACAGGTAAGGAACCTTAATTAATTCAATTTCTGGTGCAAATGCTACAGTTTCCTTTTTTATATGCAGAGATTTTCACTAGTGTAGTTATCTCAATTACTGATCACCACTGGCTGAATTCCCATCTAGAGACAAAACAACAATTTTTCATACATGCTTAAATAGACCACACAGTGCTGTAGTTAGATGACAGTTTATTCCATATCAGATAGATAATGCAATATTATTAGAAGTCATTCTCATACACACATTCACACCTACACACACCTACACACACACACACATACATACATACACAAAGAGAAAGAGTGGAGAAATTTATCCGTGACTAACAAAAATAAATAAAACCTAGCTATATAGTGACAGGATAATTTAATTATCCTGTAGCTGCTATGCAGGGAAGAATTTTCAGAAAGCATCAACCAAGGAAAACAAAGACATCAGAAAAGAGGGAAAAATGAGAATACGGTGTTACTGTACCTGTAAGAATGTATGAAAGCAATATTGCAATCAAGAAAATACCAAACATTAATCTACTAAGGGATTAAGCATCTTAGTGATAATATAGACCTTTTGTTCCTTAACAAAAGGTCACAGTACTACTGTAATCTTCTATATTTGGTTTGGAGGTAGATAAGAATAGCAGACTTCTAAAAGGATATTACACTTGATTGAACTACACCTTTCCAGCATCATTTTAGTTCCATGAATGTTGGGGGTTTATATCGCACATGTTATGGAAAAAGGCAGACCAGATGTTCATGCAATTTAACATGTAAGCAAACTTAACTGAAGCAATACAAAAATTTATAGACTTTTGGACTTTAAAATTCACTGGCTATAGCCAGACCATTCGGTACTGTAAGGAACACTTTACTTCCAGCTTTGCACTGCTCTTCAGGAAATGCATCTGATGAGGAGGGCTTCTCCCCCAAAACAGCTAATAACGATAACACCTATCAGTTACTATAAATGAGCTATTCCAGTATGACTCAGCAAAACACAACTTCTCACACACTCTACACCCTGTGAAGTGTGAAAAAGATTACGGAAGAATATGGTGTACTGAAATCATATGGACATCAGAAATTTATCTGGGAAAAGAAAGTGGGTTTAACATTTGGATTCAAGCTTATTTTTTCAAAACATAATCAAAGCAAGGAGTGAAAGATGTTGTTTCTCCACTCCTCTTTAAATAAAGGGAAATTTTATCTAGAAAAAAGCTGAACTGGCTTTTGAATCCTAAGCCTTTGGTAAGAATTTTGGGCTGAGAGTGGATTCATCATTTAACACCCCAACCCTCCTATGCCTCTCTGTTAGAGCTGACACTGCATCATGAAAGAAATAAGATTATTTGTAGGTTTTCTTTGCCCCAGGAAAAAATCATAAACAACTCTATAGATATCCAGGCTTCATCACTAATTTAAATGCCAAAGCTTCCACTGACTTCGTCAAAACCAGGGTTTTACACTAGATATATAAAGGGAGATCCTTCACCAGAAAGTCCAGCTGTGCTGGATTGGAACACATGTACAAGATCTTACAGCGAAGTGTGGAAAAAACGCTTCACGTCATGGGTCAGACATACAACAGTAGCTTGTGACATCTCTGTCTCCTTCCCACTTCAGTTTATACTGTTGATAGCTGTTGAAGTCATCAGAGAATCCCTCTCCTGCAGTAATCCGTTCTTATAGCCTTTTGAACTGTGCCCAGATTTATGCTGTCCAACTCTAATGACACACAACAGAAACACCAGCGAGAAAGAGTTGCCGAGTCTCTAGCACTTGTCACCAAAATCAGCTTCAGAAAGCTTTCTCTGCTAAAAAAACGTTAGGATATGAATATAAACTTCTGCAGGGACTTTACATTTTTTCCATAGCAAACACAGGCTGCAAACGCCAACATGGCTGTTGGAAGCCTTGTTCACTTAATACCATATGCCACAATTCTCTCCTGAAA